TGGTCCTAAGAAGCACCATCACAAGGAATGGATCTCTATGGGGACCCTGGACAAACTTCAAGAAAGGAAGAACAAGAAACTAGCAATTAACAACAGCCGAACACGAGCAGAGAAAGTCAAAGCACAAGCAGACTACGCAGAAGCAAACAGAGAAGTGAAGAAAAGCATTAAAGCCGACAAGCAGAAATACATGGGAGAACTAGCAACGGCGGCGGAAAAAGCTGCAAGAGAAGGGAATATGAAACAACTATATGATACAACGAAGAAATTGGCAGGGAGATATAGCAAACCAGAGAGACCAGTCAAAGACAAAGAAGGAAAGACAATCACTGAGATTCAGGAACAGAGGAAAAGATGGACAGAATACTTTGAGGAACTGCTGAATAGACCAGCCCCATCGAATCCACCGAACATCGAAGCAGCCCACACTGACCTTCCAATAGATGTCACTCCACCAACGATCGAAGAAGTCAAGATGGCCATCAGACAAATCAAAGTGGGAAGGCGGCAGGACCTGACAATATACCAGCAGAAGCACTGAAGTCAGACATTGAAATAACTGCAAACATGCTTTACCTTCTATTCAAAAGATTTGGGAAGAGGAACAAGTGCCAACGGACTGGAAAGAAGGATATCTCATCAAGATACCAAAGAAAGGAGATCTGAGCCAATGTGAGAACTACAGAGGCATCAGTTTGTTATCAGTACCAGGAAAAGTTTTCAACAGAGTGCTGCTGAATCGGATGAAAGACGCAGTAGACGCCGAACTTAGGGATCATCAGGCTGGATTCCGTAAGGATCGGTCGTGCACAGACCAGATTGCGACACTACGTATCATCGTTGAACAATCAGTTGAGTGGAACTCATCACTATACGTCAACTTCATCGACTATGAGAAGGCGTTTGACAGCGTGGATAGGAGAACATTGTGGAAACTTCTTCGACACTATGGAGTTCCTCAGAAGATCGTCAACATTATCCAAAACTCATACGATGGATTACAGTGCAAAGTGGTGCATGGAGGACAGCTGACAGATGCATTTCCAGTAAGGACCGGAGTCAGACAAGGCTGTCTACTCTCCCCATTTCTCTTCCTTCTAGTGATTGACTGGATTATGACGAACTCGACATCTGAAGGGAAATACGGAATACAATGGACTTCTCAGAATCAATTAGATGATTTGGACTTCGCAGATGACCTAGCCCTCCTCTCTCATACACACGACCAAATGCAGATGAAGACAGCAAATGTAGCAGCAGCCTCCGCATCGATAGGCCTCCACATTCACAAAGGAAAAAGCAAGATTCTCAAATGCAACACGGAGAACACCGACCCAATCACGCTTGATGGCGAAACTCTGGAAGAGGTGGAAACATTCAAGTACCTGGGGAGCATAGTTGATAAACAAGGAGGATCGGATGCAGATGTAAAGGCAAGGATTGGCAAAGCAAGGGCAGCATTTCTACAATTGAAGAACATATGGAACTCAAAACAACTCTCAACCAATTTCAAGGTCAGAATCTTTAATACGAACGTCAAGACAGTCCTACTGTATGGAGCTGAAACGTGGAGAACTACTACGGCCATCATCAGGAAGGTACAAGTATTTATAAACAGTTGTCTACGCAAAATACTCAACATCCATTGGCCGGATACTATCAGCAACAGCGTTTTATGGGAGAGGACAAACCAGCTTCCAGCTGAAGAGGAAATAAGGAAAAGACGTTGGAAGTGGATCGGACATACATTAAGGAAATCACCAATGTGCATCACGACTCAATCCCTAACTTGGAATCCGGAAGGGAAGCGGAAAAGAGGAAGGCCAAAGAACACACTACGCCGGGAAATAGAAGCCGATATGAAAAGGATGAATAGCAACTGGAAAGAACTGGAAAGGAAGGCTCAGGACAGAGTTGGATGGAGAATGCTGGTGAGCGGCCTATGCTCCTCGACGAGGGGTAACAGGCGTAAGTATGTAAGTAAGTTTAGTAACCTAGGATGCAGTTCATCGGGTCCCGTAGACTTGCTTATGTTAAGCTTATTTAGCAGACCAAAGACATCTAATTCTTTACTGGTCATGCTGTCCGATGTGTGTCGAGGAATTTGTATGGAATGACGGGAAGGGTGTTTCTACGGTATATACATTGTTGAAGTAGTTTAAGAATACTTGAGCTTTACCTTAGTCGTCCTCCACTAAAAATTAAGCATTACTGTCTCCCCATAGTGTTGGAATATTACCTATTTTCCGTTCCTTTGGTTTATATACGGATACAAGTGTTTAGAGCATTCTACAGATTCCCCAGCAATTTTTCTTGTAAAACCTTCGGGACTTACGGAAGGTCGAGGGACATGTATTTCGAGCTTTTCGATATTGAGATTTTGTCTCGTCAGGCCCCAGCAACTTGAATCTATCCCACATTCTTCTCCTCATAAGGAGAAGGGTGCGAACCTCCCTACTGAACCATGATAAGGAGTCTCTCAGCCCCCTTGGTGTGGTCCAAGGGATGTGGGGTGAAGTAACTTTTGAGTTTAAAGTTCAAAACACACCCCAAACTGTTTCAACTGGGGACTATGGCTCTATGGTCCAATTTACTGACTATGCTGAGTGTATAATATCTTGTATATTGACTTTCCAGACGTTAGTTCTGGGTTGAGCTGATGCGTACTCGTTTTTGACAGCTATTTGAAGTCAGATGTTAGAACTGCATGATCACTTTACCTAGGGGTGGCATATAATCGAGGTTCGTGACGTCATCCTCATAATGGGTTAATATGAGATCTAGTAAAAATGATTCAGATCCTGGGTAGTACCTAATTGCCTATTTCGCATGTCGTACTAGAGCACATATGATAATCGCATCAAGTAGTTCATGCGCGAAAGAACTTTCTGACAATTCAGTCCTCAGATTTTTCCAATCTACCGTAGATGAATTAAAGTCTCCCACAATTAGACATGAACCACTCTGTGACCAAGTATTGAGACTGTTTAGCAAGACCTCATTTACCTCACAGCTTGGACTACGGTAGACCAAAACAATCAGCAGCTCTTTTCCCTTGCAGCAACTAACTAATTCACACGCCGCACTATCATGGGACACACTATCGATAGTGGCGAATGGGTATTCTTGATGAGTAGAGCTATTCTCCCTCCTTTATGCTTCTGGGTTCTGTCGGCTTTTACCAAATCAAGTTCCATACTATCTATAGGCTGCGTCAGCCGAGTTTCTGTGACTATGATTACATCTGGCTTGGTAGAGTCAATCTGTACACCTAGTTACGACCGCGTATTAAGCAAGCTTCGGATGTTAAGGTAACAGATCCGAAGCCTATTTAAATGGCTTCGGGCTGCATCCATAGTGACTTTGGTATCATTCTTTGTCGAAACATCACAACCCGAAAATTTACAATTTTTGGGTCCTTTTCGCCAGCATCTAACCTAAGTTTTAGTTATTTTTTGGCTTCTCACCTTTTCACACTGTCTGCGATCGGCAAGTCCTTATGATCGAAAACTTCTGAACCCTTTAGTTTACGTTCATTCTGTAAAGTTATGTTCTGTTCATAAGAAGATTTAAATATTTCTTTAAGCAACCCGGTTTGATTTGGTTTCAAATTCGCTTGACTACCCAGTCTATCATCGATGTATTGGATAGTTGGCTTGTGTTTCCTGCCGACTACTATTTAGAGGACGGAGGACAGAGGAAACTTCCTTTCTTGGGTTTTTACTTAGGACAGACCTTTTTGAAGTCGGTCTTTCCTTCTTTGAAAGATGTGAGTCAGTTTCTGCGGAGCTTATTTGAGGTGGCTTCACATCAATTTGTGCGTCGACAAAGTGAGTACTGTTCAATGTGTCCAGACCTCGTTAAATATAGTCTTACTTTGGGGCTTTGGCGCAGTAATCTGCAACGCAGAATATGAGTTTGCCAAGGACTTTTCAACTAAGCGGTGGACGTTTTTGGCTAGCTTTCCTTCATCCGTCTCCTACCAGTCGGGGCATCCACATTAGAACTACTCGGAACGACAATAGTATTGTCTGGGTCATCAGCCACTGTTGTAGCAGCTTGGCCATCAGCATTTGATGATATATTGCTCATTAATTGTTTCAAGATAAAAATCTTTATTGCGTATTGCACAGCCAGGTGTCTGGCACGTGCACGACATTGATGCATTCCTTGTTATCAGCACCCACATTACCGTTACAGCCCTCATAAATCTATTTGTTAGCCGACGCCAGAAGGCTAATTGCCTCTTGGATGAATAATATTTTGGTCGAACAACAAAACACACAGAGCCCATGAGAGTTAGGCTTTGAGCAACTTTTATAGGTAGTGGGATTTAAGCGGGTATGCATCTTATGAAACCACTTCTTATACTCGTCACATTGCATTCCTTCTTCCACAGGAAATAAGTGGCATTGCTGTCCACAATTGCGGGCAGAACCGACCATCTTAAAAATTAACTAATAATGGCAACATAAAAATGGATGTGTAGAAAATGTCAGACCTTAACCGAGTAAATGAAGTCAAAGTTGCACAATTATGCTTGGATGTAGGAAATATACAAAAGCAAAGTTAATACACAAAAGTGAAATGTCAATTTAACTGAAATAAATTCAACTTAAGTGTAAGCAGTAGTTTTGGTGTGTAATGTATTACCAAAACAGTGAATTTACTTCAACGAGGGATAATACCACTGTCCTTTTAAAATAGCGTGCCAGGTAGCTCTCCATACATTTGGGCAAGGCTTAACCTGATCATATATCATTTCACTAGCTCTAAACGTGAATAATAAAACAGCGTGATCGCTATTGGCTAAAGGTGGGGGAATATTTAGATTGGCAATATCCTCAGTTGCATTAGTGATTACCAAGTCTAGCAAAGAAGAACCTTGGTTTAAACCAAAACGTGTGGTTTCGGATACATGAGGTACTAATGCATACTCGATATATATAGATTTAGTGTAGCTGAAATCAAACCAAATTCACAACCGTCTTGATTTGACCGCTTCTGCAAAACCTTACGAGTTGTCGAGATGACGCACCAACTGTTTTACGACGGCTTGACCTTCAAGTGCTCAGTAACCTCTCTCAATGGACGGTGCCAGTGGACCGTTGCCCGTTTGCTCATCTTCGGTCAGTTAGATTCTATTTCCGAAGATGACGGTTACATACTCGTCAGTTGTGGCGACTGCGAAATACTGGACTTTTATAAGATTATTGTTTATGTAATGCTCACGGTTTTTGTTCTCAACAGCCACAAACAGGTGGAAAGGAAGCGTTTATCGTCTGGTTTGGTTCGAGTTTCTGGTCTTCGTCGGTATATACTCCGTTTTATCTGTTACATACAGGTTTATCCTCAGTGAAACACTGAAGAGGTTAGTTAAATTATTCAAATTTAACGCTTAATAACTACCTACATAAATGAGGTTTTTAGTTGATGTTTCATTAGTTAAAGATTAAAATTAGTTAGTTGATTTTAGAATTCATTCGTTTGTTACTACCGTGTTTATCGTGATAATCTTGGACTTATTGTCCGTCTCCTACCTTATACATATAGACTACTATTTTTGCCAATATGAACCCTCTCAAGGCGGTCTCCAGTTGACCTGGTAATAAACATAAGTCCTGTAATATCAGCAGTAAATTTGAGTCTTAAAAATAGTCCACCTAAAACTTTAGGACGTCATTAGCTATCAGTTGGGTCAATATGGTCATAATAATTTGTAGAAAAGACTTTGGAATCCCAGATCTAACCAGATACCTTTAAGGTTTCCTCAGAGTAATCACCTCTTTAAACCTACTGTCAAGTAAATTTTCTGCACCATCTCTCTGTTAATCTAAGATAAAACAAACACCTACAAATAGTGTTAGCTGAGGATATTAGTCGTTTCTTAAACTGAGAATCCAAGTCTTGGTTTTGACTTCATTATTCGATGGAATACGTTAAGTTTGATTTTTACACACCTTCCTATCAATGTATCAAAGCCCTTCGAAATTTTTATTTCTCAGCACTGTATCGTTTCAGGTTTGAATTGTCTTTGTCAGAAATCGTTATCATAAGTGCTACTTAGTTTAGTGATCATATTATTAATAGATTTTGACCAGAGTCCACAGATCATGAGCTGCATTGATTTCCATCTCTCAGCCACTGGTTACTTGTAATTCAGTTCCAAGACACTGAATAGTTTGACTTCTAATCGAGATACCAAGTGTAATATATTCGAATCTTTATGGAATTATGCCTCCACGTTACTGGTTCACTGTATTAATGACAGGCCTTAAATGTGTTATCCAGGGTTTCTTCAGCAAATCAAACTTCATATCCCCTTACTGGCATCTGGGGATTTTAGAAAAGTATAATCTAAATGTACTTATACAAAAGACATTGGTTGTCATTCTAAAATCAAACAAAGACTTGGAAAAATCTAAATATACCAAAGTAATTTCCTAATCGATACCTTATTAAAAATTCACCAGCAACTGTAAACATATGTTCTAAGTATTGGTTCTATGAAGATAATGCACCTAGCGTTCAGTGGTTTTCTAGAGATACGTATAGCTTGTTTTTTATGTCGTTTATGGGAATCTGCTCTACAAAAAAGCATATGATTGCAGGTCTTAATGAATTGTACAGTACTTATTCAATCTAGTTAACATCCTGCTCTACCAAACTAATTATGAGAGTATGATTTAGCTCAGTAGTCATACATGTATGTTTCACATTTATTTTTATTTATTTATTTAGACACAAATATTGGTACAAGGAAGTACCAGATACATATGTGCCGCATAAATCTCATTCGATTTGTGTGAGGGTTGTGATACTGCCCAGGTGCCCAGACCGAACCAGGTGGTTTTATTAGAGGGCCACACCCGGAGCCTTCCACCTAAAGGCCTGACCCAAAAGGCAATGGAGCATCGTGAGGAGATAAAGTCCCATGGTAGACGGTGACCAACAATTGGTTCATACGCCATTTGTTACCTCAGTGTACTGGAGCCTATGTGCACCATTGGTTCGGAATCAGGATTTTCCAACTCCCCTAGGTGGACTCACATTGTCCACCGACCCGGTTAAAGCGTCTGACATTCGCTTTTCGTTCTCTCAATTTCGTGAACAACAGTGACGCCACGAGAAAGTAGTGAGTGAGACTTCCCTGGCAAAGGCTATATACGCGTGGACATGTGAGTGTTTGGAGAAGGAGGGTGGCCCCTCCCCACTCTTGGTCGTACCAGGGCATTTGGGGGCTTAAAAGTAGGTGAAACTAACGACCAGCAGTTCGCAATATGTTAATAATACTTGAAATTATAAAGAAATCAATACTTCACATATGCCTAACTTCGCCACTTTTAATTATTGATTTCTTCAACTCCTTGTCGCTGCCTGTTATTTTTTCGAACTCGAAATCATAGCTCAGTGGTTAAACATTCGACTTTCAGCCAATAAGTTTTCGGTCTGAACCCCGTCCTATCAACTTTAGCTTGGGTAACCGGACCATATTATTAGTCCTCATACATGCACTGTGACTCAAAGTCAAGCACACAAATCTGTGCCTGACAAATGAATCAAAAGGTTTTTTGACGTTAAAATTTTTTGAACGGTTCAATTTTCCTGTATATCAAATATATTGTTCTATTCGAACATTATGCTGACAAAGATTATTAGTGCTCTATAGTATATCACAACAGTTAAGTAATTAACCAAATACAGATCTCAGTGTATTAGGTGTTTCAGACATTTTAGATATTATTGTTGGTATTTGTAGAATTATCCTATAAGCTTACTGATCTCATTGGTTAAAAAAGTTGCTTCAGCACTGATGATATGTGGGTAAATCGTCCCATATTGTATATTTCAAAATTGAGCTGACCATTTGTTTTGCTCTTAGTTCAAAATAGTTATACATCTGTAATGACTTTTTAACTAGCGTGTTTGCAGTTATATTCAAAGCTATCGTATTCACTGTTTATTTTACTGTAAATCGCTTCCTGTTTATTTTCTGTTATACATAACTTACGAAACATGATCAATAACTGATTTAAACAGGTATTTTGAACTATTGTGCATCTATTGCGGTCGGTACAACGAAACAGTTCCTGTAGCATTCGTTTTGGGCTTTTACGTTTCACTTATTGTTCAACGTTGGTGGGAACAGTTCTTAGCATTACCATGGCCTGATCGTCTGGCTCTGTTTATAACAGCTTTTTGTCATGGGAACGCTGAACGCCCAACAAGAATTAGGCGAAATATAGTTCGATATATCAATTTATCTTATTGTATTGCTTTACGTGCAATCTCATCTCGAGCTCGCTTGCGTTTTCCAACGGAAGAACATCTTGTTAGTGCAGGTAATTCAGTGTTTTCATTAAATATTGTATCATTTTGAAAATGTTCATCAATAGGACAATGTTATTTTAAGCAATTTTCAAGCTTTATATAACAAACATCCGTTTTAATATTAATGTTTTTGGTTATGTGTATTTTCGATAAACTCATTTAGTGTAAGTTAACGATTTGGATTCGTTTTCTAGGTTTATGCTTGTAATATCATTGTTTTAATAAATTAGCCAACTTATTGAGACTCCTGGGTTTTAACTGTCTGACAAAATATCAAGTAATATGTTTGTGAATACCTAAACATTAAGGTGAAGGGGTCCAGATAACTGTTTGATTGTTGATACATGTGTCGATCCCTTTTTTATTGACTATTTATTAATAAAAGCTTCTTTTAGAAATTAGTATGACAGTCAAACTATTTCATAGGGATATATATATATATATATATATATATATATATATATATATATAGAATTCTGTTTTGAATACTTGATTCCAAATCATTAATTTAATCGTCTAAATATATACAAATTTTCTCTCCCCAAAACTGAGTGACTATTGATTTTCGAACAATATGTATCATTGACATCGTTACATAATACCTACCCTGAATTTACTGGATTGTAATTAATTATAATCATGCTTTTTAGAAAATGAAAGATATTAAAAATAATTGAAGTAGTTAGCTATTACATGGTTAAGTATTAAATCTAATTTTTACTACACAACAGTATATATGCCCTGGTACGGCCGAGAGTGGGGAGGGGCCACTTTCCTTCTCCAAACACTCACATGTCCACGCGTATATTGCCTCTGACAGGGAAGTTCTACTCACTACCTTCTCGTGGCATCACTGTTGTTCGCGAAATTGAGAGAACGAAAAGCGAATGTCAGACGCTTTAACCGGGTCGGTGGACAATGTGAGTCCACCTAGGGGAGTTGGAAAATCCTGATTCCGAACCAATGGTGCACATAGGCTCCAGTACACTGAGGTAACAAATGGCGTATGAACCAATTGTTGGTCACCGTCTACCATGGGACTGTATCTCCTCACGATGCTCCATTACCTTTTGGGTTAGACCTTTAGGTGGAAGGCTCCGGGTGTGCCCCCCCGGTGCATATGTGTGACTGGTCCTACGTTGTAGCTGACTAACTGACCCTAAGAAAACCACCTGCTTTAGTTCGGGCACCTGGACAGTATCACAGCCCTCACATAAGTCGAATGAGATTTGTGCGGCGCATATGTATCTGATGCCCGTTTGTACCAATATTTATGTGTTTAAATAATAATAATAACATACATGAAGTATTATCTCATAACTATAATTTCCATGGCAAACAAATGTTCTGGCATTTAAATCCTATTTTTCAAAAATAATAGTAATTCCCAAGTTCTCACATGTGTTTTAACCATACATTTTAAACTCTATGTCATATAATCTCTGAGAGTTAATGAAATATACTTTGTACATTAGACAAATGTACATTCTATTTACATATAAGTATTGAACTGATTTTATTATGATAATCTACCATTTAAAAGTAAGCCCATAAATAAATCTATTTCTTTACTGTGGATGGACTCGTTAGTTGGAGACAGCCTACAAAAAGCCTTGGATGTAAGTTTTTGTTAACACTTGTCAGTAAATCATATTTACTATCTCAAGGAAACTGATGCTTCTTGTGGGTTTCGAATCTCTGTCACTCAATGTCAAAGTTAGTGTTTTGTTACTTAGCTATTCGGGATATGACTAAACTGTAGAACAGTTAACTACATACTTATTAGTCATTTAATAGTAACCAATACTATGTCTAGTTCTTGTTGCTGATATGACTCTACCGATGAAGTTGGAGTTTATAATAGTGTTTTGTCAGAACGTTGGTTTTGGTTATATTCAGAATAATTACAATGTAAATTGATTCAAATCCTTGTTAATTCACCATCGATTTTTCAATTAATAAACCGAGCTATTTGTAAGAGGTCCGTCATTATTGGAGTAGATTACGTTGTGTGTTACTTATATCGACATAAGTAGTATGTGACGCTAGTCAGGAATAGAATATGTGGCATCAGAAAGTCGAGAAGATCGAGAAGGAAATAACGGGAACAGAAAGTAATTGGTATGAAAATAAAGGAACAGTGAAGTCTGAGGCGATTGATTGACATTTCGCAGATTAAGTATTTACTGTATGATTCTCAGATTTTACTAAGAGATTCTGTAATTGTGTGTTCAAATACATTCAATTGTCCCCACTTGTTTTCTCGATCACTACATATTTAATAGCGATCAAGAATGGAATGTACAGTGTACATTTCATCTTAAGGAGAGCTAATCAAAGGAAATAGTCACTTTTATCTCATAGTTTTCCGTAATGCTGAAGTAGTCACTCTAAAAACCAATATACAAACTAACAAGTGTTAGCCAAATAGGATTTACTCGCTTATACATACATACACTTAACTGAGTTCATATCTAAGGTGTATAGCATACATTCTGCATTCCACTGCTAATTAGTGCCATCAAAAAATTATTTTCGATGAGGATAATTTCATGTTTCAAATTGTCCATACCACTTTTTATCTTTTTCAGGATTAATGACACAAGAAGAATTGGATATTTATCGTAGCACTCAACCCAGTGAATATACTTTATACTTTGTTCCATTGGTATGGGCCTTAGATATGGTTACAAAAGCTCGTGAAGAAGGCTACATACGCTTTGATAGAGCTGTAGAAATTTTGACAAATGAAATCACATCATTTCGTAGTAAATTAGGCACAATATTTGCTTATGATTGGGTTAATCCTCCACTCGTATATACCCAAGTGAGTTGATAAGTAGTAGTAAACTAACATGCAATAACAAAACGGACCATTTACTACTTTTTTAAGACTTGGCATTCTATTTTCTTATGGTTCAATAACTAATAGTCATACTCCTCTTGTAGCCGTTGATCAAACAATTCAAAATGTTTAAAATGCGACCTACAAATACACATACAATCTCCAAACAAGTCACATATTAGGATTCGAGTGGGAATTAAAACCCTTAAAACGACTATTTAAAATACAACCTTTCGTCAGACGATTCTGGTCGAGTCTGCGTTAAATATAGAACATTTCCTATAGAGCAGTGCTTCACCAGTTAAGGCCACTAACTTGAAGGTTCGACATCGTCTCACCTGCTCCAATTTGAGCAGTGTTCTATGTAGTTTGAAAGAAAGATAAAATCAAGAACATGGAGTGTTGACAGCTTAGGTACTAGATTTCAAACCGATGAATCTCTGGTTTAAGATTTTTTTTCACCTATACCAGTTTCAGGCTACGCGGTTGTGTCACTAGCCCTAACAATTCGAGTGTGGCTTGAAGGCAAGTTCATGAATATGATTCTAGCAAATAAGTTAATATCTTGTTATTCAAGAGGCATGTCAAAATCCCATTGGATTAAATATGTGTAAAATTAGAGCTTTTTTGTTTGAATCCTTCAATTTATTTTTTGCTCTTACTACTTCAAGTCTTTTTAGTAAACGTAAGTAGCGAAATTCACCACCGACATGTTCATATAAACTCCATTTGTGTAGATATTGTGTGTTTCTAATATAACGGATGATTTAAAATATTTTTCTCATTCAGCTGTACTACGATAATATGTTAATACGATAATGAGACTAGTCACGTCATGTCAAATCCAGTATTCACGACCCAGAATAGAGAACCAAATCGACTTTAGGTAGTACCCTTTTGAACGCAATCACAATCAGTCACATTCAGTCAGCTACAACGTAGAACCAGGCACACATATTGGCTGTCTGTTTAAACATCTGGGCTACCTGTTCCTATCATCTAGATATTTCAAACAGTTATCTGATTTCGTTTGTTTTAATACATCATTATACCTATTAATCGCACAGCCTATTCAGGTGCGTTTCTGAAAAGTGTAAGACCTTTCGCTGTAAAGATTACAGAAGGCTTAATCAGAGATATCGTGGTTGCTGGCAGTATGCAGCGACAAGAATGTACATTATCCAGATGTCGATTGTCTGGGCTGCTAAGTTCTAACTGGCGATCACTCAATATTCATCGTCAGGAAGGACGAAGAAGTAAGAAACGGAAACTTGTTGAAGTACTTTGTGCTGAGAATTCTATATTGTACCAAAAATATAATATTGAATAAAGCTAATAATAATAATATGCATCGGTCCAAGTTGCCATACCTAGTTAGCACAACATGATGAACACCGGATTCATAGAAATAGTCAATTTAGTGGTGGTAGTATATAAAAGATAGCCTCTGCCAGGGAAGTCCTACTCACTACCTTCTTGTGGCATTACTGTTGTTTACGAAATCGAGAGAACGAAAAGCGAATGTCCGACGCTTTAGCCGGGCCGGTGGATACGGTGAGTCCACCTAGGGGAGTTGGAAAATCCTGATTCCAAACCAATAGTGCACATGGGCTCCAGTACCCTGAGGTAACAAATGGCGTATGAACCAATTGTTGGTCAGTGTCTACCATGGGACTGTATCTCCTCACGATGCTCCATTGCCTTCTGGGTCAGGCCTTTAGGTGGAAGGCTCGGAGTGTGGCCCCTAATAAAACCACCTGGTTCAGTCTGGACACCCGAACAGTATTATAGCCCTCATATTTTTAAAATTAAGTGACAATTTTATGTGTGGCGCATAAATATCTGGTGCCCCCTTGTGCCAATATTTATGTGTTCAATTAAATAAATAAATGATGATATCTGTCTCAGGCGGTACGGTCTCAACAAGTACGGAGCCGACACAAAAATTACCCATAAAAAGGTCGTGTGTGACCGGCCTCAAACAGTGGTCCCTTAGGTAATGCGGTCACGCTCTCAAGTCATTAAGACCACCTCTAACCCAATTTCCTTTCTAGGTACTTCTATGAAAACCCTTTCACGGTGTAGGCAACCGGGAAGTGATGACCGCCGTCATACCTCTAACAGCATTCAAGACTCTCAGCTACTCACTCCATTGTGTCGAATAACGTTCCATAAATTTCTACAATCCACTCTGTCAAACGCTTCCTCATAATCAAGGAACGTGATGTTTAGTGACTAGTTCCGTTCAAGTGACTGCACAACAATGATTTATAGTGTCACAATTTGCTCGATGCGCTACCGATCCTTACGGAATCCAATTCCTTGATTTCAAAGTTAGATGTCTGTTGAATTTTTCATCTGATTCAACAACATTCTGTTGAAAACTTTTCCTGGTGGTGGTAGTAGTGTGATGACTCTGTAGTTTTCACACTTTCCCACATCTTATTTCTTTCATATCTTAATGAGGTATCCTTCTTTCCAGTCTGTCGGCACTTGTTCTTCCTCACAAGTCTCTCTAAATAGAACGTGGAGCATGTATGCACTTACTTCTATGCCTGACTTCAGTGTTTCAACTCGTGTGTTATCTAGTCCTGATGTTTTCTCACTCTTGCTATGTCTAATATTCATGTTGGTTTCTTCGAGCGCTGATAGAGTGGCATTCATAGGGATGGCAGTGTGTGATGCTTCGACGTCTAGTGAGTTCAGCGGAGCTGGTCTATTCAAGAGTTATTCAAAGTGTTCTTCGCACCTGTTCTTCTGTTCCTGAATCTCAGTGATTGGTTTGTTTTCTATGTTCTTGACTGGTCGCTTTGGTTTACTGTATTTCCCTACCAGTTTCTTCCTTGTGCCATATGTTTGTCTCATATTTTCTTTACTTGCATCCTTTTCTGATACCTTTGCCAGATCTTACATGTATTTCTGCTTGTCAGATCTAATGTTCCTCTTCACTCTCTTGTTTGCTTCTCTGTATTCGGCCTGTGACTTGACCTTCTCTATTCGTGTTCCACTGTTATTAATTGCTGTCTTCCTGTTCTTCCTTTCTTGAATCTTGCTCAGGGTTTTGATAGAGATCCATTCCTTATGATGATGCTTGTTGAGGTCGAGAACGTCCTGACACATTAAAGTTAGTACTTGTTTGATCTCTTTCCAGTTGTCTATGGTAGCTAATTTGAGTATTAGTGAATCATAGTAAGAGAAAAGTTAGTGTATTTATGATTTTACAGGAGGTTCTAGAGTCTTCTCTAATTATCCGCTAGTGCTGATTGGCTTAGAAAACTGACCAGCCAGCGTGTTCCAACATAAATCTGCAAGGGATATTCTTTATTCCAATCTATAACCTGCTAACATGCACATTCACTTCTTTATACAGAATTTCTAAAGATTTGATACTACAACCGCGAAAAACTGGTACTTGCTACATGAAATTGTAGCTTTCACGATACAAAAGAGAAAATAAAACTGACTGTAGAGGCAGATTTTATTCACCCTCCGAAAAGCACGACAACTTTAACCGGAATACACTCATTTGTGTTGCCAATTTTTATTTACATGTGTTGGTGAGTGGATAGTAATTACATGTAACCGAAATAGGAAAAATGGATTCGGCATGGAATTACTATGAAAAATGCATGCTTTATGCTGTTATCGGCCAAACCAAAACGTGGCATCAGTGCTTGAAGTCACTAACTTCTAGTCTGAGCCATGTTGGTAGATGCAGACTACCTGGTTGGGGTCCGTGTGACTATCGTAACCGATGGTTGGAGACTCTAGGTGACATGGCTCAGATTCAATCACAATGGCGTATGTGTATACACTCTTTATCTTACCTTAAACCTTGTAATTAAAATTGCTTCATAACTTTCTTCCTATACTATATCCTTATATGCAACCTTTCTTTTATAAATTATCACCACCAAATTAACTACTTCTATGAATCCGGTGTTCATCTTGTTGTGCTAACGAGGTATGGAAAATTGGACCGATGCATATGTGTGCCTGGTCCTACGTTTTAGCTGACTGACTGACTTTATACTGTTATGCTGAACAAAAATACATACTGAATTAATACAAATAGTATTATACTAAATAAATACTACACTAAAATTAATGAATAGTATGCTGAGCAATTATCGCATTGAATTGATAAACATTGTCATATGATTATTCCTAAAAATATAATCATATGTTATTGGCGATTGAAGAAAATCAATTCATGTAGGCCATTCGCACTTCATCAATTAGTACCTTGGTCATCATATTGAAGTTCATTTTTATTATTTCTTTTCAGTACGTGGGTTTGTGGAGATTTTAGTATTTCCGCAGTTAAAATCACGAGTTTATCTAAGCTAGACCCCCATTGAAAACCTGGAAGCACCAGACTACCGTTTCGTTCTAATATGGGACTTATCAGCAGCGCACATCCACGACCTCACACACGGGGCTCGAACCCACGACCTTCGATCTCACACATGAACACTTAACCTCTAAACCACTGAGCTAGTGTTCAACAGTTTTAATGTTTAATTTCAATTGATCCATGGTCTTGCTTAACCCTTTGACAATAATCACTTTTGATTTAATATACTTTATTTCACATAATTGCTTTGTGTATCTGGTTTTGAGCTACATTTTAGTGTGTTATCGTTAGTGATACTATCTAGCTGCTCAAATCAGAGTACGCTAGCTGAGGCTTAAACCTATGACTTAGAACTCAATTGCTTAGATCACTTTATCATTAAGTCAAGACAATTTGTTATAAAACTAGACTCAATACTAATGTCGCATTTCTTCTTTAGCTTAGAGATTCTATAGATTAATATGATTTAGTATATGTTCCGCCACCCTTATTTGCAGATCACGATTGCTCCTCCCTATGTACGTGTTTCCGCACATACATGTAAATTGGTATACACAATGGGATGTGATTTAGTATATGAAAAAAGTTATTGTTTTGCAAACGTTTACAACACTTTAATTCTCTTTTTTTATCAATCAAATCTCCGCTTCAAATAGAATTTATTACACTTAACAACTATGAATTTATTATTCATCATTATCATATTGATTGCTTAATGGTTCTTGTGACAATAAGTGATGCTATCTTACTTCGCTAATCATTCATAGAAATTGTGATTTTCAACATATCTTATGGCTTTTTGTAACATCAGAGATTATATGTATATATAGACTAATTCGCTTTTGTAATCAAATTCATTTGACAGGTTAATATTGAAAGTTTGATATGAAATGTTTTGGGAAAGGTATATTTTAAACACATTGACTCAACAAACTAAACTTATGAAATACAGAGTCACTCAGTCAGTCAGTTACAAAGTAGGACCAGGCACACGCATATGCATCGGTCCAAGTTGTCATACCTAGTTAGCACAACAAGATGAACACCGAGTTCATAGTAGTTACTTCAATGGTAGTAATATATAGAAGAAAGATTGTACATAAGGATATAGTACAGAAAGAAAGAAATGAAGCAATTTTAATTTCATAGTTTAAGGGAAGACAAAGATGGTATACACCTACGCCATTGTGATAAATTCTGAGCCATGTCACATAGGGTCTCCAACCATTAGTTACAGTAATCACGCGAACCCCAACCAGGTAGTCTGCATCTACCAACATGGCTCAGAGCCCCCAAATGCCTTGTTACAGTAGAGAGTGGGGAGAGTCCGCTCTTCCTCTCGAAATGCTCTCACATGGCCACGTGCATACAACCACTGCCAGGGAAGTCCTACTCACTGCCTTCTCGTGGCATCACTGTTGTTTACGAAATTCACAGGACGAAAAGCGAATGTATGGCGCTTTAACCGGGTTGATGGACACGGAAATTTCACCTAGGGGAGTTGGGAAACCTTGATTCCAAACCAACGGTGCACATGGGCTTCAGTATCCTGAAGGAACAGATGGCGTATGAATCAATCGTTGGTTACCGGCTACCATGGGACTGTATCTCCTCACAATGCTCCACTGCCTTGTGGACTAGACCTTTAGGTCAAAGGCTCCGGGTGTGACCCCTAAGGAAACCACCTGCTTTAGTTTGGATATCTGGGCAGTATCACAGCCATCACACAAATCAAATGAGATTTGTGTGGCTCATATGTATCTGGGTCCTCTTTGTACCAATATTTATGTGTTCAAATAAAAATAAATAAAATAACATGGCTCAGACTAGAAGTTTTATTGACTTCAAGTTCTGATGCCACGTTTTAGTTTATCCGCCCCTAACTTTTCCAACCATCCCCTACACTAGTCAGCATAGCGCGTCGTGGTAATCGGCGTTCAGGGATATGTAACATATGGCCCAACCATCTCAGTCGATGAAGGTTCATCACCTCATCAACTGATTTACCATAATTCCCTAATACCCTGTGTCTAACCTCATTATTATTTAGCCGGTGATCCCAACAGATGCGAGCAATATTTCTAAGACATCTGTGGTCAAATACTAGTAACTTACGAGTATCTTCTACTCTTAATGGCCATGTTTCACAGTCGTAAAGTAGAACAGAGCGAACTGCTGCGCAGTATACTCGTCCCTTAATTGATAGACGGATATAAAAATACAGAGTCGGTATGATATGAATGAATTAGCCCAATCTACTTCTTAAATCAAACACTTTCATATGTGAAGTGTGATAATATATTCCTTGGCTGATCAAACCGGGATAAAGTAAAAGAAAAGATAATTAAGTGGTTAAAAGTTATTACTTTCCAGAAGTACTCGTTTGTAATCTCCTCTTACGACGATCAACGAACTTGTTTTTCTTTTTGTTGCCTTGGTGTTGAATATTAACAATTGGAAATCTTATAATTCGTATTTACCTACCAACATCTACAGCTTAAACTATACAAAATTCTTATTGTGAAAATAAGAACAACACATATAAGTGAATAATACTGTTTCTAACTAGATCTTCATCTGGCTTTTCTCTAATATGCAGTAATATGTTTGTATGCATATATAAAAAATACACTAAACCAATCAAGCCAGTTTTTGAGACAACGGTAACAATGAGATAGATTGCATATTTAAACATATAAGTATTACTGTATCATTCAAGTAAAACCTGATGAAGATCTAATTGACATCAATAACGTTCTTTTATATACATTGTTGTAGTCTACAGCTTAAACAGTGTTATGACACCTTTAAGGTGACTTAACCAAATTTAACTATGTGGTTGTAATATTACATGTATACTTGTTTATATGGTTACTTTCATTTCTAATTGTGTTTGTACACAAATACTCGTTACTGTTTTTGTAAAAAATTTTTCACTGTAATCTCTTTTCGTTATTGTGTTGTCATTATATTGCTACTCATTTCTTATCACCCCCTCAATTTTTAGACTGTAACAATTGCTGTATATGGATATTTTGGTACATGTTTGCTTGCATGGCAGTATTTAGACCCATCGAAAAAATATGAAGGTCATGATGTTGATATTTATGTACCAATTTTCGGTTTACTACGTTTCTTCTTCTATATTGGATGGCTGAAGGTTAGTTCCATATTTTATATTATTAGACATTGATTGATACCACGTTCAAACGTTACTTACCAAAATTTTGATTATGACTGTTTTGTATTCTATGTCTACTATTTCTTCTATACCATAATATCCTAGACTTGACGTTCACAGTTATCCTCGAGTCGATGCAAGCTAAGCTCTTACTGGTTTGGAACCCACAAGCTTTGTTCTATCCGTTACCATGAGTCCAATGGCTAATCAGCAGTCGGGTTCTATTACATATTTCGAGCACATGTGGGTTTATATACAGAAATACCAAATCTCATCGTACCATAAAATAAAAAAAAATCACGATTATACACAATTAGAATAAAAAGGTCCATAAATAGAGCAATCTGTAAGTGTTTAATTGGCAGCAAACTGGAAACAATAAGCTGTATCGTAATAGTTAATGAGTTGAAGAAACAGAAACATCATAATTCAGTTACTTAGTCAATAAAAATCCGCAAAGTATAAGCAGAGATGGGTGGTGACTAGCAGTAGAATTTCGTTCTGTTTTGGACTTGTCAGCTGAACTTACCTGAATCCCAAAGTCAATGTCCACTCCGGGACTCGAACCCAGTACCCTTCGCTTCAGATGCTGTCTCATTATTCACTTAGCTACGGAGTCCAGATAGTCATTAGCTTGTGCAATGGGGTAAAGTTTTAATTCATTTTATATTGTTTGTTTTAATCTTTCCATTGATATTTAGGACTGAGGTTGGTCCATCAAATAGTTTCTGGAGTTATCGTTCCTTCATTCTTCGTTCTGAAACATCACTAATATTATTGTTATATGTATATGTCATATGTATAACTTGACTAAATAGAGTTTCTAAGTTGTATTAAAACGCCATTTATACAGATTGTGATTCATTTTTATTATTTTTACTATACCATTTTAGATGTTACTCATTAAATTTACTAATAAAGTGATTCGAGTTTTAGGTTTCCCTATGAACAAATAGCTAAAGAACAATGACCCTTAGTATCACAACCCAATAAACATTAACGATGTTTTACACTGTCATTTTCACTTTATGATATCAAAATAGAGTTTCTTTTACCAATAATCAAAGTTTTATGTACTCTGTTTATAGTGAGATATCTTTTCAAGGTTTCTCATTTTTATTCGTTTATTTAAACACAAATATTGGTACAAAGGGGTACCAGATATATATGCGCCGCACAAACCTCATTTGAGTTGTGTGAGGGCTGTGATACTGCTCGGGTGCCCAGACCGAACCAGATGGTTTTCTTAGGGGGCCACACCCGGAGCCTTTGACCTAAAGGTCTGACCCACAAGGCACTGGAGCGTCGTGAGGAGATGCAGTCCCATAGTAGACAGTGACCAATAATTGGTTCATGTGCCATTTGTTCCTTCAGGATACTGGAGCCCATGTGCACTATTGGTTTGGAATCAGGATTTTCCAACTCCCCTAGGTGGACTTACATTGTCCACCAACCCGATTAAAGCGTCTGACATTCGCTTTTCGTCCTGTGAATTTCGTGAACAACAGTGATGCCACAAGAAGGTAGTGAGTAGGACTTCCCTGTCAGAGGCTTTATACGCGTGTCCATGTGAGAGCATTTGGAGAGGAAGAGCAAACTCTCCCCACTCTCGGCTATACCAGGGCATTTGCGGAAATGTCACTTATTTTAAAGTTTTTTTTTAATTTAATAAAAGAACAGTTTCTTTTTTGATCCCGATATTCTTAACTCTACAGTATATTTGTATTCAACTTGATTATTTTATAACATCATTCGACTTTTAGTTTATATTTTTACTAATAGGTTGCAGAATCATTAATTAATCCATTTGGTGAAGATGTCGATGATTTTGAAATTGAATATTTAATTGAAAGAAATTTACAAGTGAGTTATTTTATTTGGTTAGTTATAATTCATTTTAATGTGATATATATATGTATTTAAATTTCCTCTTCAATTGTTTCAATATAAGTTACGATTATAGTAGTGAGTCATCGACATCAGTTGAGTATTATTCAACATGATCTTTAGAGATTACCATAGTGTAAAAAAAACAGGATTCATTGCCATATATCACTAATGACATAAAATATAGACAGTTCCAGTGAATGAACAACAATAATATGTCCGTGGGACCTTTATTTTTTTGGGCAATATGCTACATGAAGAGATTGAAGTACTGTAACACTTAAGCGTATCAGACTAGATTCGATTAGATTTAAAAACCGAAACCACTAAATTCCGACTTAGTAATCTAAAAATATGGTAGACTGCTTCCTTCCGTATCCAAGATTTGATTGAAAATTATTATCTTGTGTTGATGTTCAACTCATAGATTGCTTCATTGACACTAGGTTTTTGGTTTCTGGTTGCTCAGATGTGTTGAAACAGCTTCTGGGAGTTACCAGATTCAGATTCTGTTTCAAACTTGTAAGCATGGTTTGATCATCAGTTTTTGGAATCGTTACTCAGGCTTTGTGAAATTTTGCGCGTTAGGGATATATGTATTTTGTCATATTCATAATTCACAGAAATAAACAAACATGAGCCAAAAAGTGAAGCCCCAAAAACTCTGTTTACAGGTATGAAGTTAGGTAAAGTACTAAGCAACTTTATTGAGGATTTTTATGGCTCCTTTTAAGTAATCAGTCCCTATCTACGCTCTCCATTTAGTCTGTATCAACTGTCACAATGGTTATGTCGAGGTAAACCGCGCAAGATGCTCATATCCCAACCAAGCATAGAAGTTTAAAGTTATGTTTGAAGAAAAGTGCCACAACTACTCCTGTTTCCCCAGATGCTAAAACTTCCACGAAGAGTTAGTCACGACCACCACTTAGCCCTGACAACACATGGCTAAAGATTTCATATAAACTTTCCTGATTCAGTACAGTGAAAATGTATGTAAATGCCGTGGTTGCGTTTATAAAGTGGCTGGAAGTAGTTGTCATGTCAAATCGAGGAACCGTAGCAATAATCAGCAGGTTATCCAATTTGTTCAGCTGTTTCACAGTACCTGCTTCTGTTTTAGCGCCCAGGTAATATCCCTGACCTCACACCAATCGAATGATTTATCTGGCGCATATCTATCACCCAGGCACCAAAAGGTCAATTCTTTAATTCTGCCTTTCACTCTTATTCATACAACACACTCCAATCTATTAATCAGATATTAAGACAGAGAATGATTAACCCGATCTTCACTGGTTTAAGCAGAGTAAGTGGTCAATCCGATCATTACCTGGCTTCCTGTTTTAGCTTATGAACAAGGTGCTGCTACCTTGACGTGGTGGTCGGGCTTGCCTATCGTGATGAAGCAATCGAGCTATGCTGGCTGGAACAATCGTTCCTCGAGGTCCTACCATGCCAGACAGGTCGGTTGAAGAGCGGTGAGACTAAAAGCAGCAAACCCAAGGTCAGAATGCGAAGTCGTACTGTCGACTGTACAGAGGTGTGACGGCAGTAAGGTGTTTCAATTCAGACAACCAGCATGACAGCGATGCTGCCTTCCCACAAGGAGGGGTGGGGTTAAAGTAGGTTGACCCTAAAAATACACACCTCGCCTTATCCCACGGATATCCGTCTCCGGCGGCAAGGTTTTTTTTTTGAAGAACGGAGCTAACACAAAAACTACCCACAAAAAGGTCGTGTGTGACCGACCTGAAGCAGTTGTCCCTTGGGCACTGCGGTCACGCTCTCAGGTCATTAAGACCACTTCTAACCCAATTTCCTTTTCAGGTACCCCCAGGAGAACCCTTCACGGTGTGGGCAACCGGGAAGTGATAACTGCCCTCATACCCCTAACAGCACTCAAGACCACCGTATTCATAATCAATCTCCTTCAATTCCTACTATTCCTTCTACCTTGACTTTCAACACAAAACTTCCTGTTCCGGTTTCCTCCTCAAGTGTCACCATGGCCAACGATTCTAGTGCGCGAAACGCTGTCCCAGGTCTACTTAAACCTCGCTCCAAACTACACATTGGAGCCTTCAACGTACGTACCCTATGCCAAATCGGTCAACAGGCCTCCTTAGCTAAAACCCTAGAATCTCGTACCATTGATGTATGCTGTGTCTTCGAAACACGCATACAGGATTCTAGTGTGGTCATTCACTTGACCTCACCTCGCCAAAATGGACAGCCAACGAAATACACCCTCCGTGTATCTGGCGACCCGTTGGCTAGTTCTCGCGGACTTGCAGGTGTAGGCATAGCACTAAGTACAAGGGCAGAACAGGCACTATTAGAATGGATCCCCGTTAACAGTCGCCTGTGTGCTGTCCGGCTGAATGGCTCCGTAAGAACTCGGAAGGATAGGGACACACGTCGTTGCCTTTTCGTCGTTTCTGCCTACGCTCCCGCCGACTGCAACCATGATGAAGTGAAAGATGACTTTTACAGAAAACTCTCTGAGCTTCTTCAGAAAGCTAAGCGCTCAGACATAGTAGTCGTAGCGGGTGACTTTAATGCCCAGGTAGGCAGCTTAAATCAAACAGAAAGACATTTAGGTGGGTGTTTTAGTATTCCGGCTCAACGAACCGATAATGGTGATCGTCTGTTGCAACTATGCTCAGACAATCGTTTATTTCTAGCAAGCACTAATTTTAAATATAAGAAGAGACATCGTCTAACATGGCGACCACCTGCACCAAACCAACGATGGACTCAAATAGACCATATTGTCATCAGTCATCGTTGGAGAGGCTCAATAGAAGATTGTCGCTCGTGTTGGAATACTTGTTTAGACTCTGATCACGCTTTAATACGAGCGCGCATTTGTCTGCGCCTCAATGGACGCAGGAAAAGTACACTAAGAAGACCCATTAGGATTGAACTGGAGGATGAGAAAGCCAAATGCGAATTCCAGAAACAACTAAGTTCACATCTAGGCAGTTCTGTAAACAAGACTGACACAGATGCTGCTTGGAAAGACATACGAACAGCTGTGGAAACAGCAGTAACATCTATTAGTTATTTAAACCATAGGGCTCCAAAAAACCAATGGATTTCTTCTAAGTCTATTTCACTGATGGATTCGCGTAAACTCATCCCATCAGGCTCTGAACATGACGAAGAGCGTAAAGAAATTAGATATAAGTTAACTAAAAGTCTAAAGAATGATCGTGAGCAGTGGTGGGCAACGAAAGCAAAAGAGATGGAAAAGGCAGCGGCTGTAGGGAACACCAGGCAACTATTCAGACTAATAAAAGAAACCGGAATTAAGAAGTCAAGTGTAAGTGAGACAATCTCGGAAAAAGACGGAACCCTTATCTGCTCTCAACCCAAACGTTTAGAACGATGGGCGGAACACTTTAAGGAGCAGTTTAACTGGCCTTCAGCTACTGCACAACTACCCACTATTCCTAGAAAACCTGAATGGAACATTGAAGTAGGCCCCCCGACCCTACTTGAAGTTCAAAAGGCTATAGGTAATCTGAAACGAGGAAGAGCAGCTGGTTCAGATGGATTGGCTCCAGAGGTCTTTAAATATGGTGGTCCGATTTTAGCGATTAGGTTGACTAATATTCTGGCTAAAATCTGGGAGACGGATGTAATCCCATCTGACTGGTCACAATCACTGATTGTCCCAATATATAAAATGGGGTCAAAATCATCCTGTGATAACCATAGAGGTATTAGTCTGACCAACATAGCATCTAAAATACTAGCCTCAATAATTATCGGGCGCCTAACTAAGACTCGTGAACTGCAAACACGAGAAAATCAGGCTGGCTTCAGACCTGGTCGTGGCTGTATCGACCACATATTCACCATTCGTCAAGTTTTAGAGCACAGACATGCTTATCGGCGTCCGACAATGATAGTTTTTCTTGACTTGAAAGCAGCATTTGACTCTGTAGACCGAGAGGTTCTGTGGCAGTGTCTGTCATTAAAAGGTGTACCTGAGAAGTACATAAACCTTGTGAAGGCTCTTTACTCGAACACTATTAGTCGAGTGAGAGCTTATGGCGAACTGTCATATGATTTTACAACCTCAAGTGGTGTCCGTCAAGGCTGTCCACTATCCCCATTTTTGTTTAACTTCATTATAGACCTGTTGCTGGAAATAACACTCTCTTCGACTGAATTTACAGGAATTGATCTCCTACCAGGGGGACCACTAATCGACTTAGAATACGCAGATGACATAGTCCCGTTTGGTGAAGACGCTGGCAAAATGCAGAGTCTTCTGTTGGAACTCAGTAATAATGCCAGGATGTTTGGGATGCGATTCTCCCCATCCAAATGTAAATTGTTACTCCAGGACTGGCCTGCATCAACACCTGAACTAAGGATAGGGAGTGAAGTAGTCGAACGCGTTGACAAGTTCACTTATCTTGGAAGTCTGATCAGCCCTAATGGGTTGGTGTCTGACGAAATCTCAGTACGGATTCAAAAAGCTCGTTTGGCTTTTGCCAACTTACGTCACCTATGGCGTAGATGAGATATCCGTCTATCAATTAAAGGACGAGTATACTGCGCATCAGTTCGCTCTGTTCTACTTTACGGTTGTGAAACATGGCCATTAAGAGTAGAAGATACTCGTAGGTTACTAGTATTTGACCACAGATGTCTTAGAAATATTGCTCGCATCTGCTGGGATTGGCGGGTAAGTAATAGTGAGGTTAGACGCAGGGTATTAGGGAACGATGGTAAATCAGTTGATGAGGTGATGAATCTTCATCGACTGAGATGGTTGGGCCATGTGTTACGTATGCCTGAACACCGATTACCACGACGCGCTATGCTGACTAGTGTAGGGGATTGTTGGAAGAGAGTTAGGGGCGGCCGAACCAAAACATGGCATCAGTGTTTGAAGTCACTAACTTCTAGTCTGAGCCATGTTGTAGATGCAGACTACCTGGTTGGGGTCCGCGTGA